CCTGGGGAATTTTTGAGAGCAATGTAGAGCCCTACTCCCTGCATGTCATAGTGGAGTTATCTGCAGGAGAAGGTAATTGAAGAGAATGAGAAGATGCCCTTGCCTCATTCTGGGCACTGTTCCTTCTCTTCTTAATGTTTTCTGGCTTGTAAGCATCAATCAATAACACCTTCTTACCTTGGACTCCATTTATTCAGTAGATTTGAGTGCCTATATTGACCCACAATTTAAGACGTTGCTTTGACAATAGTCTTAGAAACAAACCATCTTTGCCCCCTCCTTTAGCCACCTCTTACATCTGAGAATCTCAACTGGGGTCAGTTTTGCTTGAAAGGAGACATTTGGGGATGTCTGTAGGCATCGGGTTTGGCTTTGGACACAACTGTAAGAAAGTTGTGATACTCTTTTTATCTTGAGGCAAGAGATGCCAATAAACATCCTATAATGTCTCACAGGACAGTTTCCCATCACAAAGACATATGTGGCCCTAAATGACAACAGTGTCAAGGTTGAAAATTTGCTTGTTGCTAATCTATTAATTTTTACCTCTATGGTCTTATATACTAGATATAAGTAGCTTAAGAGAGGAATTATTTACTTTGTCTCATGGTGGTGCTGGATAGCTTTAGTGTCAACTTGACATACCTGGGTTGAGGGAGCCTCAACTGGGCAATTGCTTTCATTGGACTGGCCTGTGGCCATGTCCATGGGGCACCTTCTTGATTGTTGAGTGATGTGGGAGGGCCGAAGCCACTGTGGGTGGTGCCATCCCTGGGCAGGTGGGCCTGTGTTGCATAAGAAAACAGGCTGAGCAGGGGCCAGGGGAGCAAGCCAGTGTTCCTCCATGGCCTGGGCTCCAGCTCCTGCCTCCAGATTCCTGCCCTGAGTTCCTACCTTGGGCTCCCTGATGGACTGTGACCTGGGAGATGTAAGACTTAAATAAACCCTTTCCTCCTCAAGTTGGTAGTGGTCAGATTGTTTTGTTACAGCAGTGGAGAGCAAACTAGGACACATGGTTTCAGAAGGTTCAGTTCATCACCGTAGGGAAGATGTGGTAGAGAAGAGCCCTTTAGGTCATGAGAGAGAGAGAGAGAGAGAGAGAGAGAGAGAGAGAGAGAGAGACTCCTTGGGCTCCCTGATGGACTGTGACCTGGGAGATGTAAGACTTAAATAAAGCCTTTCCTCCTCAAGTTGGTAGTGGTCAGATTGTTTTGTTACAGCGATGAAGAGCAAACTAGGACACAGGGTTTCAGAAGGTTCAGGTCATCACCGTAGGGAAGATGGGAGCGGGGGAGGGGAAGAGAAGGGGGAGGATGGGGAGAGAGAAGGCTATCCAGGCACATAGCTGTTTTTCTCCTTTTTTTACCTTCCTACTCAGTGTGGACCTCCAGCCCAGGCAGTGGTGCCACCGAAATTCTGGGTGTGTCTCTGTATGTTCTACCCCAGTTAATCCTCGTTGGAAATGCCCTCACAGACTCAGCCTGTGGTAGGGGAGGGGAAGAGAAGGGGGAGGATGGGGAGAGAGAAGGCTATCCAGGCACATAGCTGTTTTTCTCCTTTTTTTACCTTCCTACTCAGTGTGGACCTCCAGCCCAGGCAGTGGTGCCACCGAAATTCTGGGTGTGTCTCTGTATGTTCTACCCCAGTTAATCCTCGTTGGAAATGCCCTCACAGACTCAGCCTGTGGTAGACTTCACCAGTTTCCTTGATAATTCCAAATTCCATTAAGTTAACGATGAAGATGAACCACCACAACTAAGTTGTCTTAGTAGTGGCCACATTTTAAAAACAACTCACTCAAGAACAATTTGCATAAATAGAAATAACACACTGGTGCATGATTTTAGATTTATTATCTAGGTGTAGAATCTGGTTAGTATTGTTAGGTAGAGGGTAACTTCTTTTGAATATTCCCTCTAACCACACCTATACCACCTATCTGGGAGGAGGAGGCAGGAGGATTGTGAATCTGAGTCTGGCCTGGAAAACGTAATAAAAATCAGTCTCAAACTTTAATAATGGTTGTAGGTATACCTCAGTAGTAGAGTTATACCTCACCTGACATGTGTGAAGCTGCAGCTTCAACTCAGTGTTACAAAGGAAAAAAACTTTCCTTGACTGTTGATTAGGGCCCTCTCCATTAGTTGTGATAATTCTCATTCCAAAAATGTATTTCTTCACCCAGCAGTGATCAGCTGCCCATAGTTCCCCACCAAAGCTGTGGCCTCCTGCCCAATTCCTCAGTTCTATGCTGGGTTTTGCCTGATTGAGTTTGCGTGGGTCTTGTACATGCTGTCACCATTGTTGTGTGTTCATATGCGCAAGGTCCCAGAAGCCTGGAGGACTCTGTTTCCTTATGGTCATGCGTCTCCTCTTCTGGCTCTTAGAATCTTTCTGCCCACTCCTCTGCAATGGTTCTTGAGCCCTGGGTACACAAACTTGTCTCCATAGACCTTAACATAGATGACAAAATGCATGAAGTCCTGTGGGTGATTTATAGGGGAGTTGCAGATCAAGATGAGGGAGCTAAACCTGATTAAGATGTGTGAAATCTAAAAAGATTCAATAAAAATATATTAAAATAAAAATATATTTCTTTAAAAAATCCACGTATTCCTTAATAGTCACTTAATAGAATTCAGATTATCTCTTACTATGTTTATAGAATTTCCTGATTCTTCCAGGTGTCTGTTGTGTGATTTAATCAAGTTGTTATACATTTGGTTACTTAGTTTTTCCTTCTGCAAATGAAGGGAAAACCATTGTGATGGGCATATCATATGGTTCTTGTAACTGTTTTACTGTTACTAAGTTAATATAAGCAAAGTACTTAAAACAGAACATATCTCTCCCTTATCCATGGGAGATACATTTTAAGACACCCGGCATATACCTAAACTACAGAGAGTACAAAATCATATGTGTGTGTGTGTGTGTGTGTGTGTGTGTGTATACGCATGTATAAATTTTCGTACATATACACATTGTGGTGGTTTGAATGACAGTGTCTCCCATAGGCTCCAAGTATTTGGACATTTTGTCCCCAGTTGGTGATGCTGTTTTTGGGAGCTCTTAGAAGGTGTGGCCATGTTGGAGGAAGCACGTCACTGGGGGCAGGCTTAGAGAGTTCTTAAGCCTTGCTGGATCTCCAGTTGTTCTCTGCTTCCTGTGCCTGCTTGAAGATGTGAGAGCTTAGCTTCTGCCCTCCTCCAGCCACCTCTGCTGCCGTGTGCCCCCGCCATGATGGACTCTTGACCCTTTGGACCGTAAGATAAATATACTCTTTCTTTTATAAGATATCTTGGTCATGGTGCTTCTATCACAGCAACAGAAAAGTAACTACTATACACATATACTAATAAAATTTATTTTACAAAATTGGGTACATTAAGAGATTAAAACAATAGTAATTTGATAGAATAATAATAAAATAGAGCAAATATAGTGATGTGCCTTGATAGAGTTATTTAAAAGCTATACATTATTCATTTCTAGAGTGCTAATTTTAATATTTTTGGTTTCTAGTTGACTGTGACATGGACAGTGAAACCTCAGACAAGGGACCATGATCTCAGAGACATACAATAAGCTCTAGATAAATTAAAATTATCATTATCATTTTTAGATTTCCCCTTTTTATCTATCATAATTTAAAATAATTTAAAATTTCATTTCCTCATGAGAGGAAGTTGTTCCCATTAATAGTGAAAACTTAACATGGATGGAGACAATCAGAGCATTAAGAAAGATTGGGATTCAAGTGAATTCTTTTTCTTTTACATGTAAAACAATTTTATGCGCAATCAAAATTGTAAATAGGTGACATTTCTGCTTCTAAACAAACAAAAGCTCACATGTGTGCTGCTTTACAGTTTGCCAAGTGGTTATGCATACATTTTCTCACTGTTGTTTGACAGACAAGTGAGATCAAGGTTTTCTTTTCCAGAAAGAAATAGACCAGACATTAGTGAGTACATCAATACTACACAGTGTAGCCCTGAGACTTTAGATCTCAAAGGGGGTTAAAATGCAGGTTCTACATATATTTCAATTTTTACTACAATTTTCTAGTTTTCTGTCTTCTTAGCGAAAATGTCTATGAAAAACATTTCCCCCAAAGTAGAATAAAAATGAGAAATTTTATAGTCATTATACTAACCAAGTGAGTGAGAGCCACCAGAAGCACAGTTCATTTTGAAGGTTCTCTGCAGTTACCTCTTCAGGACACCAGTACCAGCACACAGTTTTTTCACATTTTAGAGAAAATGATATGGGGCATTCCTGTTGCTTCCAAGTCAAGTGGTGTTGTGTGTGTGTTTGTGTGTGTGTGTGTGTGTGTGTGTGTGTGTGTGTAGGCATGTGTTAGGAGTTATAGGGCTTAATTATACCACTCTCTCCCTCTAGGGACTTGATTTTGGTCTCATAGCTCCCCTTTAGTCGTAACTGACTTCTCAGGCCCCACTCTCTTCCCCGATTTCCTTTTGCCACATAGACTACACGCTCCGCTAGGTAACCCTGCATTCTGAATTGTTTCCTGGATAGTTTTCGTTGTCAGAATTTTCCTCCCTTAGTTTTAAATCTTGAAGTCGTTTCTTTACAGTAGATAGAAGAGTTGTATCTTATATTTGCTGCCGGAAATAGGTCAATTCCAGTGTCATCAAGTGAGTTCTTAAGAACAAATGTTCTCACTTGAAACATCCGAGGACCTACAACTTCTGCCTGGGAATCTGAAAACCTGAAACTCTGTTTTGTGACCTTTCTCCTACTTATTTTTTCCTGGTGGAGAACAGTTCTTACCAGGTGAGTTTGTTACTTTTATTCCCATAACCTTTGGAAGAAAAAGGTTGATGTTTAATTTTTGTCCTGCATTATTTTCCATCTTTCGCAGAATTAAATTCTAAATTTAAATTTCTAGTGGAATCACTTTTCTGTGGCCATGGGTGTTAGTGAAAACTCTGGTGGTATATAAATAGCTGTGGATGAAAAGCCTTCATCCTATGGGCCACTCCAGATCCAGTCAGCAACCATGAGGGCCTCACTCTTCCTTGCCTGCCTTGGAGTTGCTGGTGAGTCTTTCTAATGAATGTCAGTAAGAGTTAATCATGCAAATAAATTAATACTTTGCTTTGGAATAAAATTGTTGTTACCTATAAGGTTTGTGCATAGCAGGCTTAAAATTTTGAAACAATATGTAGTTTGTGTATTTATGGATAATTAAACCTCACTTGTCATGGGAAGATCATGGTGATGAACAGTGATTCCGCATAGAGGTTATGCATAAGGAAGCACAGTGTGTCTTTAACTCCCATGTAGATTCTTTGAACTAGGAGAGACCAGGTAAGGATAGTCTACTACAAAAGAAATGTTGGTCTTGACCTCTGCAAAAATTGAAGTTGGCAACACAGTAATCTGTGACGAGGCTTTAAGTGTCATGACCTAGTCTCCTAAATACTGAAAGCCTGGCTATTTGGCCTAGGGAACTAGACAGGAAGAGCTATTTAATTTTTTGTGAACAAAAACTTTGGCTTGTTGTTTCATACATCTTTACTAACAAACTCTCCCTAGTGTGATACTGAATGTCATTCACATGTTTAAATGTAGCCACATGGCCACTTTTATTTTAACGTTACTTTATTTCCTTGCCAGAACTGAGGTGATATTGGAGACTTATCCCAAGGCTTCATGCATGTTAGAAGAGCTTTACAATAGGACATATTACAGCCCTTTCTTTCTTTCTTTCTTTCTTTCTTTCTTTCTTTCTTTCTTTCTTTCTTTCTTTCCCCTTCCTTCCTTCCTTCCTTCCTTCCTTCCTTCCTTCCTTCTTTCCTTCTCTTTTTCAGATAGAATCTCACTAAATTGCCCAGTCTTGCCTGAGTTCATTTTGTAACCCAGACAGGCCTTAAGTCTTCCTTTTGCATTACCATCCAAAGTAACTGGGACTGCAGGTCTGAGCCTGCCAATACAATTGTAGCACTGAAACATAATGCTAGAGTTTCCAAAATTCAGCATGTATAAATTAAATACATTTGTGTACACACTTGGAAATATCTTAGTTAAAATTATTTTAAAATATTTAAAACTGGGGCTAATCAAATAATTATGGACTTGGTATAAGAAGTGTTGGTATCAGTGGGCCCTGTTTCACAATGCCAAATGCACGGACAAATGTTGGAAGGGTTGTTGATACAGAGGGAACAGTTAGGGAGGGGAATCCTATAATGTTCTGTAAAATGATTTATAAAAATTTAGGAGATGGGGGCTGGAGAGATGATTCAGTGGTTAAGAGCACTGGCTGCTCTTGCAGAGGATCTGGGTCCCTTTACCAACACCCACATGGCAGCTAACAACCATCTGTAACTCCAGTTCCAGGGGATCTGACATCCTCTTCTGATCTCCACTGGCACTATACAACACCTACCTACATGCAGACAATATGCTCATACACATAAAATAGATAAAAATAAAGTGTTTAAAAATTTTAGGAAACAACCAATAAGGGAAATAAGGAGACTAGAAGAACAAAGTTATTACTTTTCTAAGCTAGAGTATTCCAAGATGGCTTCTAGAGTTTTCTGTTTCCTGGGACACTTGCACTATACCAACAGCCCCTCACCAATAGGATTCATGCAAAGTTATGCATCTGCATGGCTGTCTAGTAGGGCCTGTTCAACATCATTTATGTTCTCAGGCAATCACCATCAGGCATCTCTGGTCTTTGTCAATTATTTTGAACATGTTTGTGACCATGTGTAGGCCTGCATGTATGGGTATGTGAGTAGTACATATGCATGGACACGATATATTATTTTAATTTAAAGCTTCAATTAATAATTAAATGCTTATTTGGAAGTGATTTTAAAAGGTTAGCATTAAAGGCATAAGATAATACATTAGAAAGCCCAACATCTTAGAACCTCCGTCTTGGTTGTGTGAGATAACAACACAAAGCTTCGTGGTAACATAGAAATTCCCAGTGGATCACTTACAAAAGCTTCCAACTTTCCTCTGTCAGTCGCTCTCCCCATTGATGATGATGATGACGACAGGATTATTGGAGGCTATCCCTGTCAGAAGAATGCTCTCCCCTACCAGGTGTCCCTGAACGTTGGCTACCACAGTTGCGGTGGCTCCCTCATCAACTCCCAGTGGGTTCTTTCAGCGGCTCACTGCTACAAATCGTAAGTGATCAATGTTCGTATTTCCAGGTTCTAAGGGCAATTTATCCTCTAGCTTCATCAAAATACAATCAGGTAAGTGCAGAGTTACACAGGATGGATAAAATGTTCAGGTGCTAAGAGCTTGATTACACCTCAGTAACCTTATGCTACCCTGAGGGACATTTATATGGAGGATTGCTCCAGAATTCACTGCCGTTTTCCCAAATGATGATAATAAAGGCACAGAAGGGGGACGAGTAGTTGATGAAGGATTCTTTAGAATAGCTTCAGGTATGCGGAATCACTACACAATTCTAACCAAGGGAAATGGGCATATGGAAGTAATGAAACACTTCATATTGCCAGTTCCCACATTAAACACAGGTATACATGTCATTCTGTTCACATGTATCACACTCCTTTTGATTCCTACATCATCTCCCTATGAAACTTGAGAATCACAACCAGAGGAGACATGATAAGCGCCAATCAGTCTGTACCAATCCCTGCTCCGTCTCTCTTTCATAGGGAGCACTTGTTCCCACCCTATACCATCTAACAAGATGAAGAACTCTGAGTCTGTACTAGCGGTGACACATAAGGAGCTCTCTCAAGTGCAACCAGGGTGGGACTGCACAAGCTACCTCAAGTGCAAAACCACCTGTGTGGCTGAATGCTCACCGGGAGGCTTCTTTGTGGTTATTCTTGTGATTAGAAAATCTGGAAAAAGGGGAGAACTTAAAGTTGGAAATGTTAAATGTCAATCCTTAAATCCAGCCGAATCCAGGTGCGTCTGGGCGAACACAACATTGATGTCCTTGAGGGTGGTGAGCAATTCATTGATGCAGTCAAGGTCATCCGCCACCCCAACTACAACCAAAACACCTACGATAATGACATCATGCTGATTAAGTTGAAGTCATCTGCCACCCTCAACGCCCGAGTGGCTGCTGTTTCTCTGCCTAAATCCTGTCCATCTGCTGGTACCAAGTGCCTCGTGTCTGGCTGGGGCAACATCCTGAGCAGTGGCAGTAAGTGTCATTGAGACATTAAGTGCCAAGTGTGAGAGTACCAGAGTTGAAAGGCATGTTGAGGGTCAGATGGTCCAAATTCTCAGTCAATGTAAGGTTCCCTGAGGATAGTTTTAGATACAGGCAGCCTTAGAATGCACTAGTTAGAGTGAAGAAATTGCCTGTGCTGGGATCATAGAGGAGACACAAGAAAAATGAGCTCCTAGAAAGTCAAGGTGTTTATCTGAAATGTGAGGGGCAGACAATTAGAAACAGAAGAGGGAATTAGACAGAAACTATGGAATTAGGTGTTCTTCGAATATATACCTATTGAGGTCTGTGGACATCTATGCTGGCACCAGATTAAAGATATCTTTATTGATTCATTGAGAATTTAATGCAAAGTATTTTGATCATGTTCCTACCCCTCCCTCATAAAAATTTCCACCCTACTACCCCTGACTTCATGTCCTCTATTATTTTTCTTTTTTCAAAAAGGCCTTTGCACCAGATTTTTAAAAATATATATATTTTTTATTTTTTAGAAGAAGCATTTCATTACAGCTTTAACATACTCAATAATAATTTCCAGAGCAAAGATACATCTCTTTCAAAAATGGTTATAAAATGTTTAGGTTCACAGTTGAATTAATAAAGTTATACAATATTGAAATCAGTATAAGCCCTGTAAGACATAAAGTTGAATGAGTTTTTAACCTTTAAAAAAGATCTCCATTTCATTTTAAAATATACTGTTTCTTACAGAAAGACTCATTGTTTTTGCTAATAACACTTAGATGTTGGCGCATGTGTCTCTAATCTGTATGTATCTGATTATTACTAGTCATGGTCGGTTGCACTCGGATCCTTGGCATCAGATTTTTAAACATTGTGAAGTGAATAAATTACTTGAAAAACTTTCTCAAAAATTGGTCTCACAAATGATAGGCTGTTGGCAAATTGAAAGAAAGAATTCTGGTATTAAGAAACAAGAGGTAGGGAAAGAAGCTTCCAAGGGCACTGTGGGTCATCTTCCGTTTTGCTCTTGGGCTCCACAGGCAACTACCCTTCGCTTCTGCAGTGTCTGGATGCTCCTGTCCTCTCTGACAGTTCCTGCAAGAGCTCCTACCCAGGCAAGATCACTAGCAACATGTTCTGCCTGGGCTTCCTGGAGGGGGGAAAGGACTCCTGCCAGGTGAGTCTGTTTGAACTTACTCCCCATCCTACCCCTTCTCCCTCTGCTTATTTCTACTGTTCTGAAAAATAGGATATCAACAGCTTCTGAGACTGTGGTGGGAGGTGAAGAGTGGATTTGGAATAAATTGTCTTTATGATAGCAATGATTAGGGTTAAATATAGCAAAGATACATAGAAAATGATATACAAACAGTCCATCTGACCATGTGCCTCAGAAGCTGTGTTGTGGAATTAACCTTTGAAACAGGAGCAGAACTATTGTGAAAGCGTTCATTCTCTCCAGTCCTCACTTTTCTTGGGTTGACAGGTTCACTAAGGAAGGAGGTGGGACTATAAGGAAGGAGGATATAGAACAATGATATAGAGAGGGGAGGGAATCTAGCATTTCCAGGTGTAGAGAGGGTGTTTTGTGACAAACCAGCAGCCTGTGAAAATGACCCAAGACAATATAAGAACAGCTTGGAGTCCGTTCTCTTATTTGGTTGCACATGAAGCTCTTACTATTTTTCCTTTGTTATTTAGGGTGACTCTGGTGGCCCTGTGGTCTGCAATGGACAACTCCAGGGTGTTGTCTCCTGGGGTTATGGCTGTGCTCAGAGAGGAAAGCCTGGAGTCTACACCAAGGTGTGCAACTATTTGACCTGGATTTGGCAGACCATAGCTGCCAACTCAACACTTATCTCTTCATGAATGATCTCTTTGTGGTCAGCTTCACTTTCTTTCTATGCACAAACTCAGTATCAAAATAAAAGCATTTTGTTCTCACTCCATCTGGCCACTATGATCCTTGTTTGGTATTGATAAATTTTCACTTGAAACTTGCCACTAACTTAGAAAATGTACAGAGAGTTGAACTGTTTTGTGACGGCACCTGGGAAGTTTATTTAGGCTTTCATCCAAACATTGGGTAATTTATATGTTAGATAATTTTTTGTAATACTTGACTATTATGCATACTTTCTAATGCTCTAGAATTGGCAGATCGCATTCATTATCTATAGGAAATTATAATACCAAAGTGCAGAGATAAAAGCTTTGGCTAAGTCGCCGAAGACGTTCATACTGGATCAGGGATGAAGCCTAAGCCGCATTGTTCCTGCTGCATCTCCTCCTATGACAAAATGTTATTCCTCCTTTTCATTCCTCTGTCTACCCCAAACTCTGTGAACTTCCAGCTTTCCAAGATTCACCTACCTCATAGAGTCCTCTACCTGCAGATCCTTTTGTTTCCCTCTAGGATAGTGCTTCTGTAGCAAGCACAGTGTTTGGACAGAGTCTGGCCTAGCCTCCTCTCACCCATGAGGTAACTCCAACCCCAGCTTAAACGATCTATATGGAACTTCTCTATTTAAGTTAGTAGCTTCCAATCTACCTTGACCAAAAACCTCAGGATTCACTCCAGGAACAAATGAGTTTAAGATTGCTCTCTGCTTCCCGACTGCACAGGCAATGTGACCAGCTGCTTCAAGCTTCTGCCTTCATGAGTTTCCCAACATGAACTCCTTTAACTGTGAGCCAAAATAAACCCTTCCATCCTTAACTTGCCTTTGTCAAGGTATTTTATCACAATGTCAGGGCACTCAGGTCAAGGCTCCCAGACCTGTTAAGACCACTGAGAGACATAACAGTGCGAGATCAGATCAGGTCCCACCCCTCCCCGCCCCAAATGACGGGAAGAGAAGTCTTTTATCCTGATGCTATTTAGTGCCAACATTCTTTCTTTTTCCTATAATCATCTTTGTACCCCACCCTGCATCCCACATAGTGCCCCCTACTGGATTTCATGCATTCTGTCATATATGTTAAGGCCTACTGAGTCGTTAGTATCCCCAAACGTCCCTCAGTGCAAGTTCACACACTGGGGGTCTAGTCAGCCTATCTAGAGTCCCTCCCTTAAAGAAGATCAGCTCTCCCTCACCCAGCAATGATCAGCTGTCAATAGTTCTTCACCTAAGGTTAGGGCCCGCTGCCCATTTCCTCGGCTCAGTGCTGGGATTTTGCCTGCCTGAGTTTGCATGGGTCTTGTGCATGCTGACAGTAGTGCTGTAGGTTCATATGAGCAGGGTCCCAGGAGCCTGCGAAGCTCTGTTTCCATATGGTCATACATCTCCTCGCTGGCTCTTACAGTCTTTCCACCCCCTCTTCCACAATGGTCCCTGAGTCTTGGGTGGATAAAGCTTAATATAGGACTCCTGTTCAGGGACCCATACTCTGCAGACTTATTCTCTAGACACTTTTGCCACTGTGGCCGTTTGTGTTGATCACCTCTGTTTCATGAGGGAACTTCACTGATGAGAGCTGAGAGATACATGAGTGTTCTCTCTATCCTTTGTTCCACTACGTTCAGTGAGTGTTAGGTATAGAGCTTCCACTGTAGATTTGTCACTTGGGGTTGAACATCTCACAGACACTTATTCTGTGTGTGATCAGTTGTGGAACTCTGTAATAGTCTCCATCTGCTGCAAAAAATTGGTGACTGGAATACTTGTCTGTAATGTAAGGATCCATATTTAGCACATAGTAAGAAATTACATTGTCACATCATCTAGGGATATGACAGCCTTAGGGTTTTCTCCAAGGTCTATGACCTCTCCGGTTTTGTGTATTTGGCTGTGTTAGCAGTACCATACATGAGCTCCCTCCCATTGAGTGGGCTTTAAGCCCAATTTGGTAGCTATTGATTACCCCTGAGATAAAAGTGCCATTACTGCACCAATAGAGTTTGCTCTGTTGGGCATTGTTGTGGTTATTAAACTTTAAATGTGGGGTTGGACCACTGATTGATGTTCTCCCTTAGCAGCTTGCATGGTGTCCTCCGAGGCTATGAGGGCTGCCTTCAGGGAGGTGGTTTCCAGGTCAGTTCCAGCTCCATTCAGGGGGTTGGTTTCCAGGTCAGTTCCAGCTCCATTCAAGGAGGTGGTTTCCAGGTCAGTTCCAGCTCCATTCAGGGGGCTGGTTTCCAGTTCTGTGTCCGGAGTATGTCCTGTCTTCAACAGAAAGAAACCATGATGGTAAAGGGAAAGAAGGAGCCGGGGGGGGTTGGGGTGGGAGAGAAATAGGAAGCAGGTGTGACCAAGGGGGAAATGGGTAAAACAGGGGTATTTAACTGGGAAAGGAATAGGGAAGGTTATACAAAAACCACGGGGGAGGGTAAAGGGGAAGAAGGAGTTCAAGAGAGGGAGCTCACAGGAGATAGGTATTATCAAGGGTGAAATGGAGAAAATGGGGGTGTTTTAATTGGGGAGGGAGGAGGAAGGGTTAGACAGGGAAAGAGAGGAGCAATAAATAATGCTTAAGTGGTGTAAAAAACCAGAGGGAAATGTATTAGTTCAAAAGTCTACTGAATAATTAATTACACATACAATATCTGTACATGAGTCCATGTGTATAGCTGAAGGCTCTATTACAAGAAACAGTGCCAGACAGGAGAAACCTCCCTTTGAGTTGTGGGTCAGGGTAGTCCAAGAGACTCCAAAAATTACACAGGGTATTGCTACAGCCCTTGATTGTCTCCCAGAACTTGAAGGTAAGACCCTATTCCTGAAGACAGGACATTCTTTGAACACAGGTCTTTTTGAAAAATATTTTTTGTTGAGTTTTTGTGCATTTCATATACTAGTGCAGGGGATCAGTGGGCAGGTCTGGGCTAAGAAGGTAGTCCAGAGATCTGGGGTAGAAAGAGCAAAAGTGGGTCCGTGCCTAAGGCTAAAAGGTGGACAAGATGAGGGGGAGAGGGTGGAGGCTTAATTTTTTTGAGACAGGTCTCACTATGTAACGCTTGCTAAACTGGATCTCACTATGCAGACCAGGCTGGCCTCAAATTCAACAGAGATATGCCTCCTTCTGACTCTTGATGCTGGGATTAAAGGCATGTGTCACTATGCCCAGCCCCTTGTTAATTTTTTCATTGTACAATATACTTTGAAAAAAGGAAAGTACTTAGAAGTTCATAGTTTAGTGAGCTGTCACAAAGTGAAGACATGTGGATAACCAGCTCCTAAATAAAAACCGGGCTATTGTCAGCATCTCAGACAGCCCCTGTGCCCTCCTGAAGACATTAGCTGAATTTCTAATAGCATAGACTAGTTTCCTTTAAAATTAACTGGCAATGGGGAGGGGATCATGCATCACACAGTGTTTTGCATCTGTTTCTTTTCTTGCCAGAAGCTCTGGTCTTATTTGTATTATAACATGCAGCACTAGATGGTACATTCTTGTTACTGAATGCTAGCCCATTGCTGAGCGTCCAAATCATTGGGCTGTATTGATAAGGCCTTTGGGCTGTTTGCCGCTCACTGCAACTGACTGTAGTTTAATGAATAGCTCTAATGCAAACACTGTAGGCCTCATCTTTTGCTGAGCACCTGGTGGAATGGCTAGATACTGCCTGTGTGTGACTTTCACCTTTCAACGTCAGACCAGAGTTTTCCAAGGTAGCCCCACCAATTTACCTTCCATTAAACACTCCGAGAGAGTGAGAGCTGCTTTGCTCTTTACCATCGGAAGGCTCTTAACGCTTTCTTATATAGATCTTGAACAGTTTTTAAAACTTATCCTTAGTCACTTTTATGCTGATTTAAACATAATGAGTTGTATGTTATTGGTCCCACTTCAAGTTAGTGAATTAGTTTAATTTAATTTGTACCCATCACATTGCTGAATTCTCTTGTTACAATATTTAATCAATTTATTTCAGGGTTTACAATGCAAGATAATCATTGACAGTTGATTTTTATGACATATTTTTAGTATCTGTATTTTCCCATTCGATGCTGCTATTATGACATACTTGTACTGCATACTTTATGAGGAAAATAGTTTTTCTTTTTGCTTCAGATGGCATCACATTGAAGACTGTGTTTGTAAGAGGGAGAGATCATATGGCAGGCTGAGGAGTCAGATGAAGGGGAGGAGTCAGGCTTCTCATTGTATTACAGCTCAGATTTCATGATCTCAGAAGAATTATTTTAATTATTGCTAGAAACACACCACCAATGACTTACAAACGTCCCACTTGACTCCACCTCTTAAAGGCATCACATCTCTTAACGTCACACAGCAAAGACTAATCTTTCAGTGTGGGAACCCTTGAGGGACAATTAAATCAGATCCAAACCACAACAGCATCCAAGCAGATGGACAAGTTTTGTTTCTTTTGCATATACAACCATTTTGAATTTTGTTTATAGATGTGCTAATATTCAACTGTCATTGTATTTTTATTAACAATGCAGAGTTATTCATTAAAAGAACTCTTAGCTAATCTTCCAGAAGACAGCTGATGTCTCTCAGGCAGTGTCAGCCAGAGTCTCCAGGGACTACACAGGGAAAGCGGAAAACAGATATCATAAAAACGTGGCCATTAAACAGCTGGGAAATGGTCATACCCAGGGCCACAGAAGTGAGAGAAGGGCTTGAAGCCAGGAAAAGCCCTCTGCCATTGGCCTGGGTGCTCAGTACTGGCAACTAACAGAGAAGAAGCAAGACTTCAAAAAGGCTTCTGTCCCCACGGTGGTTCAGGAGCCTGAGACCCTCAGTCAGCCACGCTTTCAAAAAACTCAAACCAAGTGACACAGGACTGTGTGCTGAAACCCAAGAGTACTCTGTGAGACCGTGGAAAGGAAATCTAACCAGATCTGAATACCATTCAGCAAATTGAAAACCTGCGGGGGAACTGAAATTGTTTTCACACAGACTCCAAGCAGCATGTGGAACATTGGCAAGAGCCACACAGGGATGGGGCAGCAGCTCCAGCCAGAGCCCAAG